CAAGTTTATATAGTTAACAAGTTTATATAGTTAACAAGTTTATTAGTTAACAAGTTTATATAGTTAACAAGTTTATATAGTTAACAAGTTTATATAGTTAACAAGTTTATATAGTTAACAAGTTTATATAGTTAACAAGTTTATATAGTTAACAAGTTTATATAGTTAACAAGTTTATATTGTTAACAAGTTTATATTGTTAACAAGTTTATATAGTTAACAAGTTTATATAGTTAACAAGTTTTTATTGTTAACAAGTTTATATAGTTAACAAGTTTATATTGTTAACAAGTTTATATAGTTAACAAGTTTATATAGTTAACAAGTTTATATTGTTAACAAGTTAACATTGTTAACAAGTTAACATTGTTAACAAGTTAACATTGTTAACAAGTTAACATTGTTAACAAGTTAACATTGTTAACAAGTTAACATTGTTAACAAGTTAACATTGTTAACAAGTTAACATTGTTAACAAGTTGACAGTATTTCTGAAAGCTTTCGCAGTTGTGTTAAATGTTCTTATGTTAAATATCCTGCTGCTCCTCTCTTTCTTCTCCAGTGTTAACAATTTAACCTCTAACATTGATTTTAACTTTCAGTTCCGCTTATTTTAATTCATTAAATTCTCTATTATCTGAGATTTTGTTTCTCAACTTCGGGGGTGCGGACCAGGGTCCAGACCACCAGTCAGGCCAAAGGCCAGGGACCCAAGGGTTAGGACCAAGATCCCAGGCAGAGGGGTCCCAGGGACCACCAAGGGGTCCCAGGGGCCACCAAGGGGTCCCAGGGGCCACCAAGGGATCCCAGGGACCACCAAGGGGTCCCAAGGGACTAGGCCCAAGGGCCCAAGGACGGGCACTAAGGGGTCCCAGGGACCACCAAGGTCCAGGGCCACTGAGGTCCCAGGGACCACCAAGGGTCCCAGGGGCCACCAAGGCAAGGTCCACTGAGGGTCCAGACCCAAAGGGTCCCAGGGACCACAAGGGTCCCAGGGACCACCAAGGGTCCAAGGCATGGGTCCCAACACCACAAGTGATCTCAGGGCCACTAAGGAGTTCCAGGGACCACCAAGGAGTCCCAAGGGCCACTGAGGGTCCCAGACACCACAAGTGATCTCAGGGACCACTAAGGAGTTCCAGGGAGCACCAAGGAGTCCCAAGGGCCACTGAGGGTTCCCAGACACCACCAAGTGATCTCAGGGACCACTAAGGAGTCCCAGGGACCACCAAGGAGTCCCAAGGGCCACTGAGGGTTCCCAAACACCACCAAGTGATCTCAGGGACCACTAAGGAGTCCCAGGGGACCACCAAGGAGTCCCAAGGGCCTCTGAGGGTTCCCAGACACCACCAAGTGATCTCAGGGACCACTAAGGAGTTCCCAGGGAGCCACCAAGGAGTCCCAAGGGCCTACTGAGGGTTCCCAGACACCACCAAGTGATCTCAGGGACCACTAAGGAGTTCCAGGGAGCACCAAGGAGTCCCAAGGGCCTCTGAGGGTTCCCAGACACCACCAAGTGATCTCAGGGACCACTAAGGAGTTCCAGGGAGCACCAAGGAGTCCCAAGGGCTACTGAGGGTTCCCAGACACCACCAAGTGATCTCAGGGACCACTAAAGAGTTCCAGGGACCAGCAGGAAGTCCCAAGGGCTACTAGGGTTCCCAGACACCACCAAGTGGTCCCAGGGACCACCAACGGGGTCCCAGGGTCCTCAAATCACCACCAACATCTGGGGTGATGCTCATCCCTTAAAAACTTTATATCAGACAGTTTTTTCAGTTAACTAATCCTAAAATTTCATCAATTAGCATCTGTCTATCTCCAAAATTTTGAGAATAACGAAGTATTAATCTACACCCTTGAAGATATTATTACTAATTACTCTCTGAATAATATTTCTCTTCTCACTCGTACAATCTCCCCTCATTAACATTATTACTCTAATTACCAGTAATTTATATTCTTTGTGTGTATTATGGACAGTAATTTATATTATTACTCTAATTACCAGTAATTTATATTCTTTGTGTGTATTATGGACAGTAATTTATATTATTATCTTATTACCAGTAATTTATATTCTTTGTGTTATTATGGACAGTAATTTATTTATTTTATCTTTATTACCAGTAATTTTATATTTTTGTGTGTTATTAGAGACAGTATTTTATATTATTTACTTTAATTACCAGAATATTATTATTCTTTTGTGTATTATGGCACAGTAATTTATTATTTATTTTCTTATTACCAGAGTAATTTATATTCTTTGTGTGTATTATGGACAGTAATTTATATTATTACTCTAATTACCAGTAATTTATATTCTTTGTGTGTATTATGGACAGTAATTTATATTATTACTCTAATTACCAGTAATTTATATTCTTAATGTTTCACGGATACTCAGTGATTATTATATTATTTAATTTTTCTTTAGTTATCCCTGACAATATTATTTTATCAATTTTCTTTAGTTATCCCAGAGAATATTATTATTTAATTTTTCATTAGTTATCCCAGAGAATATTATTTTATCATTTTTCTTTAGTTATCCCAGAGAATATTATTTTATCATTTTTCTTTAGTTATCCCAGAGAATATTATTATTTAATTTTTCTTTAGTTATCCCAGAAAATATTATTTTTTAATTTTTCTTTAGTTATCCCAGATAATATTAGTATTTTATCATTTTTCATTAGTTATCCCAGAGAATATTATTTATTTTTTTACATTAGTTATCCCAAATATCATTATCTTCGATTTTTATGAGTTATCCCTAAAATTATCTAGTTTTTAATAATTTTCACTAGTTATCCACAAGATCATTATTATTACTACATTCTCAATAGTTAACCATAATAAATCTTCAATTTTATTACATTTTAATTAGTTACCCCAACATCATTATTTCTATTTCTAGTTTTCAATAGTTATCCCCAAAAATGTTATTTTTCCTTTGTTTTACTTTAGTTATCCTTAATTTCCATAATTTCACTATTATTTCTATTTATAATAGTTATCCCTAATGTCCATAATTCCACTATTATTTCTAATTATAATAGTTATCCCTAATGTCCATAATTCCACTATTATTTCTAGTTATAATAGTTATCCCTAATGTCCATAATTCCACTATTATTTCTAGTTATAATAGTTATCCCTAATGTCCATAATTCCACTATTATTTCTAATTATAATAGTTATCCTTAATTTCCATAATTCCACTATTATTTCTAGTTATAATAGTTATCCCTAATGTCCATAATTCCACTATTATTTCTATTTATAATAGTTATCCCTAATGTCCATAATTCCACTATTATTTCTAGTTATAATAGTTATCCCTAATGTCCATAATTCCACTATTATTTCTATTTATAATAGTTATCCACAAATTTCCATAATTCCACTATTTATAATAGTTACCCACAAAATTATTTTCACCAGTTACCCCTAAGCTCATTATTATTCTCAGTTCCTTCTCTTTATTACCAGTTAAAAAAATAATCTCAATTTGTCTCAATAATCTCACGAGAGATTAATATGAAGGGGTAACTAAAGGAAATAAAAATTATCACAGATTAAATTTTCTCGTTTTCTCCATGCAAGATTTTTTAGTAATAAAGTCTACGTAAATTTTCTATTATCATCACTCAGGTAATTTAAAGGTAATAATAACTGTAATTATATTATTATTACTAATTTTAGCAAAAAAAATTATTATAATTAAGTGCCCCTGTTATATTATTGTTATTATTATTATTTATTTTTGCTAATTAATGTTAATGTTAAAATTAGTATAAGTATTTATATATATATATATTTCTCGTATTTATTGTGTTGTGTATATAAGTTGTGTGCATTATTGCTCTCTCTTTTTCTCTCTCTCTCTCTCTCTCCTTCTCATCTCTCTCTCCTCTCTCTCTCCTCTCTCCTCTCTCTCTCCTCTCTTCTCTCATTTCTATGTGGGTTTGCTGAACTTTTACATTTAAAGACATGTTAGAGCTTTTTCTCGCTTTTTTTTTCAATCTATATGTGTTCTATTTTTTAATTTTTTCACGTGAGTGATTTATTTTCAATGTTCATCTGTGTTTTTTTCATTCCAGTTGATATGTGTGCTTTTAAAATGCTATTTTTGCTTGCCCTTTGGTGTTTTTTGGTCGATTTTCTTGTTATTCCCGATCTGTGTGTCTAGCCCCATCCCCTCTCTCTCTCTCTCTCTCTCTCTTCCTCCTCTCTCTCTCTCTCTCTCTCTCTCTCTCTCTCTCTCCCATATCTCATGTCACTCCCGCAGCTCATGTCTCTCTTTCGTTTCTCACCTTAACCTTCCTTATACATTGGTCTAAAACATTTATATTTCTCCATGTTTTCCCATATTTATTCACTTCCCTCACCATTCCTATCTGTTCTTCCCATTCTCTAAAATCCTCAAATCCATCTGCTTGTTCCCCTAACCATCTAAATCCCCTAAATCCGGTCCTCCCTTTCCTCTACATTTCTCCCCACTATCTAAATCCTCCCAAAACCTATCTGCCTGTTTGTCCCCAGCTGCCTAAAATCTCTCATACTCGTCTGCCCCCTCCTTACCGTCCAAACCCCCCTAAATCCATCTTTTCCCTTATGTTTCTCCACCATCTAAATCTCCCTGAATCCATCATTTCTCATACGTGTCTTTCCTATCGTCTAAGTCATCCCTTAAATCCATCTTTTCCTATACATATCTCTCCCACTATCCAAATCCTCTTAAATCCATCTTTTTCTATGCGTGTCTCTCCTGTTGTCTAAATCCCCTTAAATCCATTTTTTTCCTATGCGTACCTCTCCCATCGTCTAAATCCCCCAAAATCTATCTTTTCCCCTACCTTTCTCCCCACCATCTAAATCCCCTTCCCACGTGCATCTCTGTTTATCTCCCAACTGCTCAACGCCCCCAACTCCGCCTGCCTATATCTCCTCCACCATCTCAATTCTCTCTCCTCTCTCTTTCTCCCCTTCAGGGCCAAGCTCCTGAAGCTGAAGATGAAAACACCCCACAGAAGAGGGTGGATAAAATCTTCTCCCAAATGGACAAGAATAATGACGAGAAACTCACTCTGGACGAGTTCAAGGAAGGGTCAAAGGCCGACCCGCGTATCGTCCAAGCTCTCTCGCTTGGTGACAACTAATGTGAATACTAAGACGAATGCGATGTCTCGCCCTCACGAAGGCAGAAGTTCGTAAAATCCGAACACCTAGTCTTAATTTTAGGCTGGGGAAGGAGGGATAGTGGATGGGAGTTAAAAATGCGGATAAAGTGTGGAAGTGTGGAGAAATTTTCTCCAACAAGGGGACGAGTTTTAAGAAGGCTGCAACCCTCGTCTCTTCATTCCAACAATCTGGAGAAGCAGATGTTGGAAAGAAGAGAGGGGTCGCAGCCCCCCTTTAAACTCGCCCCCTGTTGGAGAAAATCCCTCCCCATAAGGCAAATGCTTATCCCAGTTAGTACCACAATACTGGTACTAACTGGGATAATGCTTCTCTCTTTTTTCTCTCTATTTAGAGCTTCAATCTTAGTAAAGCTCTACATAGAGCCGGCATTGTCCAGTAAGACCTTGCTCTGCATTCCGAGTCTCTTCAGGCTTTTGCGTTGTAGGATGTAAGGTTTGTTTTGACTAATATTCGTAGTGGCGTATTTTCACTTATTTTAATGCTTGTATTTCTCTTCTTTCCCTGTGTGGTGTTAGGGGCAGGCTCCAGAAGCAGACGATGAGAATGCTCCCCAGAAAAGAGTAGACCAGATCTTCTCACAGATGGACAAGAATCACGACGAAAAGCTGACCTTGGAGGAATTCAAGGAGGGATCCAAAGCTGACCCCCGAATCGTCGAGGCACTCTCTCTCGGTGATAACTGAGCACCTGGAGCTTCGTTAGTGATCGTCGTGACTCCCATCAGCCTCTGCTAGCACCGCTACACTACTCTTCTTCCTCCTCTTCCTCCTGCTGCTGCTTCTTTGAAGACCTCATCTGAGTTAGATTTGAAGCCGACAAACACATGGGGATGCTTACCTTCCCGAATGCCAATGCAGTTTCTGCTAAGGCATTACAAGGGGATGCTTTCTCCTAAGCCCATATACCCACAGTACCCTGCCATCCACCCACAGTACTCTACTATCCACCCACAATCCCTGCCATCCACCTGAAGTCCCTGCCATCCACCCAAAATACCCTACCACAGTCTCTGCCATCCACACTCAGTACCCTGCCATCTATCTGAATTCCCTGTCATCTACCCACAGTCCCTGCCATCCACCCCCAGTACCATGCCATACCTTCCCATCCCCTGCCACCCATTCCGTTTCCTAAACTCTTCGCTCCACAGTAGCTTCAAATTGAAACCTGTCACTTCAAGTCAGCCTCCAAACATGTGAATTACAGGAACCTGCTTACATCCTCTCACAATGCCCATGAGAGGGAGGCAACATAAAACAAGAATTTCCTCCTCCCACTGGACATTATACAATCTCATATCACTGACTACTCCAAGGTGCTCCTTCAAGGTTAAACTCGTCGTCAGCGTTCTAGATAATACCTGAGGCCGATCGTCAGGCATGGATTCAAGGCTGCATTAAGGGAAAAAAAACAGATGTACATGCTTCCACTTGCTGCCTTAAATCCAAAGTCTTGATTTTTAAAAACGGCTAAAGACTCGGGGTAGGGGATGAAATAATGATAATTAAGTCTTTTCATTGCATCACTAGCCTCAATGGACTGTTTTTGTTATCAATTTCACTATTCGTCTTTGATATCAAGGTCACCTCTCACAATTGTTTACAAATATTCAGCGTGTGTATTTTACCTTTCAAAGGACCATTTTCAGGCTTTGTGAGTGACCAGGTTAAGGTATTTCCATGCAGGTGTGCTAGCTGATTCATATATACTTACATCCACATATATTTAACATCATGCAGTATACATTGAGTGCATAAACTCCCGTGTTAAAAGTGTCCAGATGAGTCGAGATTTTCAAGTGTTGTTTACTCTGTCCCAGTGCTGAATTTCGCTGGGTTTTCAGTCTCTAATAAGTTTAAGTTTGTTAAATTTACTGCAAGAATCAAAAAAAGGCTCTACAACTGTCTGCTTCAAGCCTGAAAACCTAAACCAACTCAAGTTGTTTGCCCACAGGGCCTAGCCTGCATTTTTGGGTGCATTATTATTCTCTGTAAGTGAACAAGTCCTTGTTCCTTTTAATCGAGTTTGGGAGAATTTAGAGATTAAGCGTGACCTACAAACTTTTTGACGTGGTAGTCCTGCGTGGTTCAAGTTGGCGAAGGGCTGTGTACGGTGTTAGCCAATCGTATTCTTAGTTCAAGCTTCACCAACGAATCATCGTAGAGATTAGATCGGCTAGCATGCGATAAGCCGTAAGTCCACCAATCAGCAGCTTGCTCATGTGATTCCAGTCTTACACAGGAGGTTCGATCTTCCGACATCCCAGATGGGATTCCACAGTGTCATGATCAAACTGTGGCAGAGGAAGAGGCATGACCACACTGTGAGGCAGACCACCGAGGTCCTGATGCTCGCTGGCTAGAAGTTGAAACTCAGTCTCGCCAACCTTCAGTAAATTCAAACTCACCTCCACTGATTGTGAGTCAACTAAACAATGGTCTGCACATGAGATTCCAGCCAAAACCCTCATAGATCTAAATGGCATGCTGCTGAAATAGTGTTTAAAACACACCATACAAAAAATTTCACTTGGATCCTTTGATACGTTGTGATCATTAGCAAGTCATGACTTAAGAAAGTTCTAAATTGAATGTTATCCAAGTAGAAGTTAATGTACAGAGTGTGTCATATCCCAGCTTAGAGGACTTTGAACTCCGACTGATTGTTAAGTCTCTTAATTAGTAGCTTCCTTGCGAGAGTCCATCTTGCCCCATTTTTGTCAATTTAGAACTCGCAAAGAAAAATTCTGGTCAGAAAAGTCTTGCTCTCGGTCATAATGAAGACAATCCCGGCGCTATTTAAAACTTTTTTTTTAATGTTTAATAAAAGTTATACCTGTTGTTTGTCTCTGCACTTAAATATAAGACTACTGAACAACTACAACTGGTGGCATTTAAAGTCTAAGTAATCTTAAGTGGATCTTGATTCTTCTTTTGGTGATTTTATAAGTGTCGGTAAGCAACAAAAGAATTCAAATTTTCCTCAAAAAGGAATTAGAAATGTATATCTGGAATTCTAAATGTCTTTAGATTTCCTAAAATATGACATCTCATGAGAGCATCGCCAAGCCTTGATGAAATATCTTTCAATAATAACTATTATGAAAAGGCATTACAATTATCGATAATTACAAAGTATAAAGTAAGCTTTACATTGATAAAAAGCTTTACATGACAGTAAGTAATGGTTTCCAGCGCTCTTTAAGTCATTGCAAATAAATCCGGGCCCCTAAAAATGCGAGGTTACCAATCTGCAAGAACCCAAGCACTTGATACTCTGTTAAGTGTGTCTGAGGGCCTCACCGACACTTACAAGAGAAATCCAAGCACTTTACATCCAGCAAGTGACTTCGTCTCTCCTTCCTCCACCCTCGAAAGTAAAACTGCAAGGAGGCAGCTCCTGGACCCGGTAACTTGTCTACAACCCAGCGCTGAGGCATACACGAGCAAAACTTAACTAAAGTTGGTAATGTTTATTAACTTCATTAAGCCTCTTGTTGCCAGGGACAATATTAATTAAAAATATTCATTTAATAATAATTATTATAATAATTCAGCACAATACTTTCCTTATATGCTTCTGAAGTCTGCATGATTATGGATGCTGAAATATTGTCCCGTTACTTCCATATAAGACTTAAACCTTTGAAACCCAGTTTTTTGTTTTGATAAATGGGAAAAAAATGGGTTTTTGGAAGTGCATATTTCTCCTCCTTTTGACAAGGTAGCAGAAGAGAATCTTGAGGCTAAACCAAATTGAATTCAAATGAGATTGAAACCATTTTGAATTTTGTGAACCTCAAAAAAAATAGAATTTAGAAATATTGGAGGCTTCAGAAATTTAATTTTAAGATTTGAGAAGTAAAAGGCCAATTTGGATTTTTCTTTTTTTAGTAAAAAAACCCGGGAGCTAAGTCTATGTGGCGCTGAGGTGAGATGTTGTTGTTAGTAAAACTGATATTGTTCTTTGGTAAGTGTTAAGTGCTTCTTACTAATCTTTGTAAGTCATTTTCCTTCACTTTATATAGCAAATTAAACAATTGCTGAGCCATTGTGTCATAAAACACACACAACCATGCCCACACACTTCCACACACACATACACATACATCCACCACACACACACACACACTCTACGTAAGCATAAAATTTCCGAAGGCTCTGAGCAGGAAAAAATTAATACTATATATTCAAGCCTCGTACCCAGACCATCTTCAGCAGACTAAAGAAAAAATAGTGCTATAGAGAGAAAGTGCTTGTATATAAAGTTGAATAATTAGAGTCTGCAATGGCCTTGTGAACTGCTGAGGTTATATATATATATTATTTTATTATATATATATATATATATATATATATATATAAAATATATAATATAAATATGTATATATATATATACAAAACAATCACAGGAATATGGAATGATAGCTCCAGGCCTTTTGTGTTGCAATCAACACAAAATGAGTAGGAAATCCAAGCAGATTTATTCGGTTAACGTTTTTGCTGAAGCAAATCTATCTGAACGAATTTAGCTGGACTTATTACTCATTTCCACAACATTGCAAGCTCCTGATGATGTCTTTCCTTCAACATGAAAGATCTGGACCTATCATTCAACTACTGTGGTTGTTTTCTTTCTTGTATCGCTTGTTACCTGCCACTTTCAGAAATCTTTTCTTCCGGTTGCTTATTACTGCAGTCGCAGTCATTGTTCATGTCTATACATGCTTCCTCCCATGTTTGGGTACTAGTCTAAATAAAGATTAACATGTCCTATTCCTGTTTGCTTC